CTCTCTCTCTCTCTCTCTCTCTCTCTCTCTCTCACACTCACACACACACCTCACACACAAATGCACATAGACCAACATACCTTAACTTCCATCTCTAGACGACTCTTCATCTTTGATACCGCTTCTGAGACCACAACATTGTCTGCTGACATCAGTTTGGTGAAGATTGACTGCAAAGTAGCTTTCACAGTCTCCTCCCCATCCCCTTCTTCTATATTCAAAAGTTGGAGAGCAGCTTCATCACCTACCAGATCAAGGATCTCTGGGACACTACTGAGGACACCCTTCAGCTCCTGATAAAATCAAGCCAATTAAGTAAGCAAAACAAAAGCCACTCAAAATTATGACTAAATAAAAATATATATAAAACCTGCGCGTAAAAATTTGGCCATTTGTTCTATTAAGATAACCATGAATGTAATTGTTTTATTATTAAAAAAACCTTCAGCTTATCGACAGCAGTCTGGTCAACGGTTCTTCCATTATATCCCTTCAAGATTAGTTCACTTAGCAACATATTTCCTATCATTATCATGGCAGAATGCAGCTCTTTCATGCATTCCTCATGTTCCTTTGATTTACAAGGCTCTAAATCTAGAGAACCTCTCCACTCACACAAATTTTAGAGGTATACTCCCTCATAAAAGCTTGTTCAACCATATGTGGCCCAGCTAGGCTCAAAAACTCTTACATCCCACTCAAGAGGATTAGAGATATGGAGATCCTTCCAGAACTATGAGTTTTTGCCTACAGAGATGGTGAGAATGTCTCTCTCCCAACCCCCCCTGGTGTAGAGCTTTTTGCTTGCAGGGTAGAGAGGATAATCTAATGGAGGGTATGTGAGATAGGGCTTTGGTAATGGCTCTCAGTCTGAGCATGTGGACAAAAGTGGTCTGGGGTTTTGCTTGTCACTTTTTAATGGAGGGAATCCCATGTTATTACATTGGACCATGGGATGGGTTTTGAGAAGAGTTTCGGCTAGAGATAGGCAATCATGATGGAAGGGTTTCTGAGGGCTTGTTGGTATAGCTGTGGAAGTTGGTTGAATATCTTTTTTGATGGTTTCCTTGGATGAGGCATAAGAGTCTGCAAGTTATGGAATAGACATTGGGAAGAGGTGGCATAAGGGCATATGGCTATCCAGGGACTGATGGGCTGGGTCACTGTGGAGCTGCTTCATTATAAGACATTCACACTGCTCATAACCTGGCCCAAGAACCCTAGTTACATGAGCACCATTACCTCACTACCTACATTAGTTTCTTGATTTCAATAGGATGACAACGTTGTTTTTGTTATCAATACTCAAAAAACTGAAATGGTTTTTTATGCATATTGCTAACTGTAGAGAGTATATATTTTTTAATATGTAGTTCTAAGGACCCATGTGGGATTTTCTCTTTCTTCAGTATTTTTGTCGCATTCTTAAGGACTGGTTAGTACTATTGAAAATTTTGTAGAACAAAGTTGTTCTTTGTAACTTATTATGCGGATAGATACATAAAACACAAGCCCTAGGCCCATCTTTTGCCCTCCAATGTGCCACTTTTGCCCCTTCCCTTACACCCTCTCCTCTCTTTCCTTCCTCTTACTGCGAACATGTCCTCTCATTCTTCTCTCTTGCTTTCCCTTCTCTCCTAGAACTCCAAACCAAAACACTTTGCATGCTATTAAAACAAGGTTTGCACTAAACAATACTTCATCATCATCATCCGAGACTTATCCCAACTATTTGGGGTCAGCTACATGAGTCTTGTTATGCCATTTTGCTCTGTCAAAGACCATACCCTTAGTTTGACAATAACTCACCATATCTCTTCTCACTACTTCTATCCATGTCCTCTTGAGCCTTCCCTTTGCCTTTTAGAGCCTTCCACTAAACAGATCGCCCCTCCTAACTTATGTTATTCTACATCGCCACTGCGTATGGCCAGCCCACCCGAGTCTACTTTCCCTCATTACAGTAAATAATACTTGCACCCCTAATTTTCAAAAGTTTGGAAGGATCTTTAGGATTTGCAGCCCTTTTGCAGTGATCAAACACCTCCATGGATCCACCTTTTGCCCGAAATAATCAAGACTATATTTTAGATATTACATATTATACAAGCCTACAATATTATCTTCTGTACAGCTTTTGTTATAATATTTTTTGCTAGGAAGTTATCCACTAAATGGCAGATCAAAGGAATCCATCCTCAGCGGATCCAATGGTCATGCAAATTGCTACTATCAAGGTCCAACGCTCATGGAATATCCAAATGCCCTGATCCTTCAAACTCTAAGTATGAAGAGTGGATGTTATTGGATTCACTTTTTTTGGGATGGATTCTCACTTCTATAGATGATATTGTTTAACATGGATTTATTTCCTTGATTCGGCCCAAGAAATCTAGGAGACCATAAAAGGGCTATTTTCTCAAAAAGACAATATTGCTTGAGTGTACCAGCTTTATAGAGACATAAACTTGAGCCCTCAAGTTGAGCAATCTTTATCACAATATTATGTAGCAGTCAAAAGGCATGTGGAAGAATCTAAATTTTATAGGCCCTCAATGTGTTAGTGTTTGACTGCCATTTTGGAATGGCCAAAGCAAGTTCAGAAGAGGCATATTTTCAAACCCCTATCTGGCCTTAATGACGGTTACGAGATGGTTAGACTCATGTATTATCTGCTGAAAAATTACCGTCGCTGGATGTTGTCTATGCTCTTCTTCAAATAGAAAAAAAATGTACAGATTTAATGAGGGTTAATTTGAAGGTCCCTAATCCAGCATTTGTTGCTTATTTTCAAGTAGAACCTAATCAGGATATAGCCACTAGACCTAAATGTGAACACTGCAATCGATTGGCCCATACAAACGAAAGGTGATGGGCCTCCCACGGGTGGCTAGCACCGCCACCAACAACTCAAGCCAAAAGGTCGCAACCCACCACCTGACAGACTTATCTGATCGCATCTCAGATGAAAAGATCAATCACCTCATTGCACTCCTTCAGAGAAAGGAATCCACTAACCTCTACCAGTACAAGTGTATTTCAAGAGATAGGTAATCATCAGTCTCTCCTTGTGCATCTTCAAATTGAGTTACTAACCCTGGAACAACAAAGCATATCTCTGGTAAGCTCCCTTTATTTTCCCTCACTCAAGAAAACATTGCTGATTTCAAGACGGTTACTCTTGCCGATGGCTCTCTTAGACCTTCTGCGGGTGCATGATCCGTCAACCTCACTCCTACTCTTTAAGTCTTTCATGAGTCCTCCATGTTCCTTCTTTCCCGTGTAACTTGCTACCAGTAAGCAGCATTACTAAAAATTTAAATTGTACAGGAACTTCTTCTCCATCACCCTGTGGATCGGGACAACGATTTAGGCGGGGTACAAGGATAATGGTCCCTACATCTTTGGGAAGGCGCCAATGGATTTGTTATCAGATAATAAAGAGGAAAATTTTGGCCCACCGCTTGTTTAGGGCATCCCTCAAGTCCAGTCCTTAAGAATCACTTGCCTTTTGCTCCTTTTTCAGACCATGTTATTTCCTCATGTGAAGCCTATCAGCTTTAGAAACTTGTTGTTTGCCCTTCATTAGCAATAAAGTTCCCTGGTTCAGAATTGTTCTCTTATTCACTATAATACGTGGGGTCCTGCACCTGTGAAATCTATCACTAGTGCACAATATTTTGTTTCCTTCTTAGATTATCGTTCTCATACAATTTAGGTCTATTACATTAAACCAAAGCAAATGTTTTTAAAATTTTCAAGGTTTTTGATAAAATGTTCATTACTCCATTCAATGCCAAAGTCAAAATCTTTAGAAAATCCAAAATGATGGGAGTGTGTACGATAGCTCCCTAGTACAAAGTCTTGCCACCTGCGGGGGCTGTGCTGTCGACGACCTCCCACCAACTTATTTGGGTCTCGCTCTATGTCTTGGCCTACCAAGACTCAATCAGTGGAGCTCAATAATCGACAAGGTTGATAGTAGGCTAGCTGGTTAGAAAGGGAGATTCCTCTCTCCAGATGGTAGATTGACCCTCATCAAGGCCACGTTAGTAACCCTAACTTCCTCATGTCTCTCTTTTACATGCCTACCTCTGTTCAAGCTAGATTGGAAAATCTTATGAGAGACTGCTTATAGTCGGGTGTGGGCAGCCATAAATTCCATCTCATATCTTGGGCCAAGGAATGCACTCTCAAATCACAAGGGGTCTTGGCATCAGAAATCTTAAAGCCACAAACTTAGCACTGCTCGGCAAATGGTGGAGGCACTTTTCGACCCAGCCTAATCACGTTTGGAGGGAGGTCACATCCAGCAAATATTGTCGTGAAGACCATGCATGGCTACAATCGTGTAGAATTAGCGGATACTTATCAGGCTTTTGGAGGTCCCTTCTACACTATCGTGACCTTTTCTTAGACAAGGTGCACTTTCGCCCAAGAATGGGGGATAGAATCCTCTTTTGGTTAGACACTTGGGTAGGCGCCACCTTGCTGAAGGACCAGTTCCCCTATCTTTACAGAATTGTTGTTGAACCCCTCGCCACGGTAGCAGTTTTGCTAGTTCTGGGCCCTCTAGAACTTGGAACCCCAACTTCAGGAGGCCCCTCACCGATAACGAGATTCATGCTTTCTCGGCTTTGTCATCCACCCTAGCTCAGATTTTAATCCCTCCTTCTGGGGAGGACAAGATCATTTGGACTCCAGACGTTTCAGGGGCCTTCTCAGTAGCTTATTTTTATCGAGCCATCAAACCACCACCCAACTCCTCCACTGCTCCTCCCTCCATTGCAGCCAAAGCATTGTTCCCTGCTATGCCTCCCAAGATCTAATTCTTCAGCTGGGTCACCCTCCACAAACGACCCCGTACTCTTGACCATCGCCAGAGGACAGGACTCTCCCTACCCAATAGATGTGCCATGTGCTTGAAGGCCGAAGAGACAAATGCTCATCTCTTCATTCATTGTGAAGCAGCATCTGCAATGTGGTCACATGTACTCCACCTGTTTAATTGGCATTGGGTTACTCTTCAGTCCATTCCCCAACTTATTTCAACCTGCCTCTACACCCATTGGACTAGCACTGGTTACTTCCTATGGAGAGCATCGATTGCGGCCATTTTGTGGACAATATGGCTCAAAAGGAACAGCCAAATTTTCAAGGGGGAGATGGCCCCTATTCCTACCTTGTTAGACAAATATCCACCCTAGTTTCCTTTAGAACCAAGAACCACAATATTTTCAGAATTTTTTGTTTTGCCAACCTCTTCGACAACTGGCATAACCTCTTGAACCTT